TGAGTAACTGGAAAAATTAGAAGGTGCTTTGGCTGCCCCCCGCCCAATTCGCTTGTTTGCAGCTGCAGCTCTGGGTGCAGAGCAAAGCCAGGAACTTGTTGCCCTACAAGCTGTAACAGCTTGATATTTCTCTGTGTTTGAAGTTATGAAATGATTTAATATTTGATAAAGAGGCCACTCAAAGGAGCAAATTTAGTTTAATTTATTGAAACTGGGTTCAGCATCCAGGTCCTGGTGTAGCATTTAATACTTAATTAACTTTAAAAATACAGGAACCGCTGGAAGTGTAGATATCATACCGATAGGTGATGCTTCAAGGCTGATGACTTTATACTGATTAAAAAAAAAAAAAAAAAAAAAGCCAAACGCTTTTTTAATGCTTAAATATCAGTTTGTGCATGTTGAAGTCAGAAACCTGAAGTGCATTTTACTATTTGGCCCTGGTGTGGTGTCCAGCACAGATCCAGCTCCTGCCAGCCTCGGTGGTCTAAGTGCTTTGCTTCTGCAGGGTGCTTGGGGTGTCTGCACAGTCACAGATCAGCAGCAGAGGTGACAGCAGCTGCTGTTTAGCTGTTTAATTCAGAGAGCCTCAGGGACTTTGGTAGTGTGGGAGCTCAGTGTGGGAGGCTCAGGAGGGGCGAGCCTTAGCTCTGCAGGACCCCCCCGACCCAGAGCAGCCAGAGAGCACAAAGAGCCTGGTCCAGAGCTGGGGACGTCCTCGCCCCTCCTGCTGATGTGAGGATACGCTGTGGTAAACCCAGGCCAGAGTTACTGGTGAAGGGAAAGTAATGCTGTTTATGAGCTTTATTCATTCATTAATAACTAGAAAATGTACAGGCAGTTCCTGAGGCGGAATCAGAGACCAGAAATAATGCTTCTACTTGCTCACTGAGTTGGACTCTTTTTGAATATTTAAACTTTCTGGCCCAGTGAGTCTCATTTCCCTGCAGAGCTCCAGTGCATAACGAAACCTCCCCGTTCCTGCTGCAGCATCCCGGGGATCCTGCACCCGCAGCGAGCTGGGTGCTGGGGTTGAGCCCTGGAGGCTGCTGAGCTTCCCCTTTCTGACTGCATGTGCCTCTACTTTGGATGTGGATTTTTAGCTGAATACAGCCCATTGCAGGGATTTCAGCACGCTTGGTCTGTGCTTTAGGATCTGGGCCTTGCCAGGGAGTTCAGCATTAGGATAGCCCCTGCCAGTGCTAGCAAAGTGGTGGGCTCCTGCCTGTCTGCTTGGCCAAGAACATCTTTGCCATATGCAGGCTCTGCACAGGCTTACAGAAAACCAGATTCTCCAAAACAGATTCAGTTGGGGGTTTTGAAAGCATCTCTGGTACTTGAGAGCTGTCCTCCGAGACTTAAACATCCAAACGCCAGCTTATATTGTCTTTAGGAAAAAAAGAAAGCAAAGCTCCAACTCTGCTGGAGCTGTTCCAGATAGCACTGAAAATGGCTTATAATGAAAGCATGCAAACTGCAGCTCTCACCAGAAAAAAAAAAAAAAAAAAAAAAAAAAAAAAAAAAAAAAAAAAAAAAAGGGCTGGGGGAAGCTTTGAGAAACCTCTGAATAATTGAAATTCGTAACAAGCTGCATGGTAAAATTGTCCTTAGCGCTCAGTGTAGGTATTAGCTCTATATCCCAGCACAGTAGGCTGATGTTAGGCAGCAGGGATGTTCTCCTGGTGAGGGCTGTTAGCCCGGTGATATTGGTTTACTAAACTACTAAATATCCCTCTCTGGAAATACCTAAACCAGGCTATTCAGACCTCAGCAGGGCTGGGTGCAGCTGTACGGTGGCAAGAGGCCAGACCAGGTGCCTTTCAAGATCACTTCCAACACTGCTCTATTCTTCTGTTCGATATACTCAGTATCAGTCGGTTATCTCCAGATGGTGACCGAGCTACCTGTTCCTCGTTGTAAGTAAGTAAAGTAAGTAAATAAGAGCTTGGAGCAGGCGGGGAGCTGGCAGCCCCCTGTGCCGGGGGTCCCTGCAGCACAGGGGAAGCAGTCGCAGTGACAAGTACCTGCTGCACCAAGGAGGTGGGGAAAGAAATGTTCTCGCTCATATTTTCCTTGCTGGGGAGGCATACTGAACAACCGCAATTAAACTGCCAGGTTTTAGTTCTGCATTGTTAGCTGGATTTACTTCTCAGCCCTACTGCTGAAAAAATAAACCTGCTTGTGACTGAGAGATAAGTATGAATACTGAACGCAACGCCGGGCATGACAAGCAGCTTGAAGCAGTAGCAGAGGTAAAGAGGTGAAGAATTTTCTGTGCTCAGGGAAGCTTGCCCTAGACAAAAAAGAAAGGTATTAGATATGACATGAAGATGTGAGTGATTAAAAATATATGACATTATGAGGGAAAATCTTCAGTCCTCTGTTTTGGCTAACAGCTGTGCAAGTGCATGAAGAGGCTGGCACAGGATGGAATGATTTCTGTAGATAATTAGGTCAATATATTAGATTTGCGGACAGCCTGAAAAGCTAAATTGTCATGTAGTGACAAATGTGGCAGTAACTGTGTGTGGGATAAGTCAGGTAAGGAGAACAGTCCCGAGCAGGATACGAAGCTGCAGGGCAAAGTGAAGACATCAGGGCAGAGGGAGAAGTGTGGCTGAAGGCATCCAGGCTTCTGGAGTGCAGGGGGCCAAGTCTTGCTGCCACTGCAGTCAGGGACAATGTTTCAAACAATGTCTTTACCAGGAAAGAAGGGAGGGATGTGTTGTTGGTGTTTTTTTGTTGTTGCTTTTTTTTTGTTGTTGTTTTTTTTTTTTGTCTTCCTACAACCACAGACAGCAATGACAACTCAAGGAGTATCCTGCAGGGGCCGGGGGACCTGCTGGGTAGGGTCAGGCTGCCCCTGGTGATGGCTGGGGACTGCCGCGGCTCTCCTGCAAGAGCTGCAAGCTCAGGAGATGTGGGACCCAGCTCCAGCCCCTGCTGTCCAAGCCAGGGGCTGTGCGGCCTCAGGGGCTCCTCCCAAGGGCACCCCCCAGCTGCCTTTCCATTTCAGCTGGAAAGTAAAATTCTGTGGGTGCTGATGGCACTCACAATAGGACAGTGTCTAATAGAAGAGGTAAGAAGGGCTCAGATATAATGTCCTAGTGAATAACTATAAACAGATCAAGAACAGTTATTTCAGCTAATGGTGAACATTAAAGTGCACAGCTTCATGAGTAGCACCATTTATTTTAGCACTGCTAATACCACTAAACTACAGACTATTCCCAATACTTTACATTAGCATTGCACATATTAGATGACTTTATTGGATTTTTAAAAATAATTAGAGTAGCTTAATAATGACTTCGACTAACACGGACAGGATCATAGAGAAAGCAGAAATTACATTTCAGATAATGCATGTCTTCCAGCCAGCCTGGGAAGGGACGGTGCCAGAGCAGGCTGCTGGTGTGCCTGCGGTTAGCCTGGTGGCCTTCCTCCTCTGGGAGAAACCTCCCGGGGCTGCTGCCTCATAGCACAGCATGGCAGGAACCTGATGTGCTAATATCTGGGTTCCAGGATTTTAAATGAGGTCTAAGACGACAGGAGCAAACACAGAAATAATCTCGTCATTGGATGTTCAGCAGCTCAGCAAATCCATATGCAAAAAAATGTTTACATTAAAATACGCTAAATAATTTTTGACACTCCAACAGTGTCTACAGAGAGAAGACCTCTGTTAATGCTCCCTAGGTGGTGAAAGGGGTTAAATCTGAAACACGATTCCTTGCTGCACGCTTTCTATGTGCCCAGCTCTATTTCATGGGTAAATGGACATTCGCAGGATCCCAGGTATTGGCTTGCCAGCACCATCAGCACTAAATCTTGAAGTCGGTGAATGTTTTGCTTCAGTAAAGACTAAATAAAATCTGATAAAGGGTTTATATTTGGCAGGCTGGTGCAGCACAGGCACACCTGACTGGGAGTTAGACAAGATGAGATGCTTTTAGTACCTCTGGCTACTGCTTGCTGTGATCTCTAAGGCAAAATAATTCTAACAGCTGTGCCTCAGTTTCCCCTCACAAAATATGGGCATAATAATAAAAGTACAGCTGCAAAGGTGCAAAGTTTATGTCACATAAAACATGTTTGTGTTGCAAATATTTTTAGTGATTTTAATGAGTCTCTGATGAAACTATTACTCACAAGCATTTCTTTGGGATGCGGCTAATTTACATGCGGTTACACCGCTACAAGTTTTGTGTGTCTTGATGTGCCTTAAAATCCTGAGTATTTGGGGATGATTTGTCAGCCATTAGCGATATTTTTGTTGTCACCCCCTTCCCCGTGTTCCTTCTCCAGTTCCCTCCTGCCTTGCAGCGGCTGACCGGCTCTGCCTTCCTCTGCTCCCCGTCCCACGCAGCACGCCAGGTTGGAAGATTCCTCCGGAGGTCATCAGCTCCAGCCTGCCGCCCGCAGCATCTGATCCCCCCGCTTCACACCCACCTCCACAAGCATCTGAGCTGCCGCTTTGTCATTCTGCCGTCAGGCACGCAAATGCTGCTCTGCGGAGACGAGGCGGCAGCAGGAAGGCTATTTTCCAGTACACACGATGCAGTGTTCCTCTCAGGTTGGGAATGGACAGTGATCAAAATTGCACTTTGATTCTTCCTCTCCAAATTTTGAGGGACCAAACTGCTAATTCCAGGTATTTTCTTCCCTTGTCACAATTCTGCTAAGCAGCAGGATCAGGCCCGTGTCCTGCTTTTCTCTCGTTTTTGCACATGAAGGTGCGTGGGGCTGACCATGCTGGCTCCGTGTCAGGCCCGTGAGGAGCAGCAGCCCCACCACCAGGTTGCAGCTCTCTCAGCGACACCCTTGGGACCACCGCCACCCCCCGGGGTGCTGCCAGAAGCTGAGGAGGGGTCCCTATGGCCACCCCCGTGCCTGCAGCCCCTGCTGTGCAGCTGCTCGGGCAGCACCGCATTGCCCCTCACCATGAGCGGGTCCAAGCGAGCGGCTTGGCCCGGGTCACACACACAATGCCAAATGCCTTTTTGTCTTTGGTCGATTTTTATTTATCAATAAAACGATACTACAAAACATGGGAAACATCTGCTTTAAATACAGATCCGCAGTTACTTTGCCAGTTTTTAACCTGCTGTATTTACAGATTTCTCCCCTGCACTCTGACCGGAGGAGCCTAAGGGGCGGCTGCTGCCAGCACCGGTCCCTCAGCTCTCAGGAGCAGGAGCAGAAGCAGCACAAGCAGCAAGGACTGGCTGCAAACTGCAGGAGGGCTCGTCTTTGCCCTGCAGCCCCCTGTGCTGCCTGCCTGTGCGGAGGCTCTTCCTCCTCCACCAGGCACGCTGCCGAGCTCAGTTCCCTCTGGTTTTGGGGCACAGCAATGATTCATCCCCATTTCTGCCAAGCCCACTGGCCTGCTCGGTTACTCCCTGCTCGGCCTGCCCCTTGGTCTGGTGGAACTGCTGAGGGCAGCCAGCAGAAAGGAAGCAGACGGGCAACGGAGCCCTCCCCGAGACCTTCCTCACTGTATAACTGCTTGGATGGCGTGTCATGTTGGGTGACTGTCCACCCAGGAGAGGTGTCCTCCCCTCCAAAGTGTGTGCAGAAGGGGTTGGTGCCGGTCTCCCCGCGGCACCCAGAGCAGCGCAGCCGCACCGCGCAGAGCCGGCCGTGCCTGACCTGCTGCCGCCGGCCTGCTGGCTCTCACGGGCACTGAACCGCTGTGAATCGATCAGCAAGAAACAGAAATATATACGTCTGTGTGTATATATATATTTCTATATATTAGATCCTTTAATTATATAGTTGTAAGGCAGATTAAAATTATTTTCTGATACCACCTGGTATCAAAACGCATCACTCCTACTTTCCATGCACATTGCGCAGTGTGCAAGGGAGGTAATTAAACCTGCAGTAATTATCATACAGGTACTCTAATCTGAATACCCACTGCTCTTTCTCACCCTCTCTTACAGAAGAAGGAGACAGTACTGAGAAGTGCTAGGAATAGCAAAAATTCAGCTTCCTGCCCCAGAAACCTGCCCCCGGGGCAGCAGAGCTGTGCCCTGCGGGCAGGAGGCCTCCACCAGCCGTGGTGGCTGCATCGGTGCCTTCTCCTCCCTTACAGACGGGAAGGGCTGGGCAAGATGAAAAGGGAGATGAGACACCACAGCACTCTGCCGTGCTGCAGAGGGGCAAGCAGGGGAAGCCTGGGCTGTGGTGTGAACAGGGCCTTTTCCTCGCGACCTGCTGGAATTTGGCTTCACCTCAGCTATCAATAAAGAGCAAGCTTTTTGATTCCTTTGTACATGAAAAGAAATGAAGAAAATAATGTATTCCAGAACAGTTCAGCTTCTCTTAAGATTTATTACCAGGGAGATGGAGCCTTGCTAATTGGCTTTTGTTATGCAGCACGGAGCGTGCTGGTGCTGAAGAGCTTTCTGCTGGCACCTGGTACCTGCGGCCCTGCAGCCACGACAGCGCCGTACTGAGGCATGCTCTTAGAGCTCGGCTTCCCCGTGGCTACCCCCAGCACTGCCTCGACATAATGAAGTATTAGCATAATTAAATGAAGTTGAAAGAAGTGAAAGAACGGGTAGAGTGCTACTGCTCTGCTTGTGATCTCTTGAGCCAGCAAAGGAAAGCAAGTAATTTTTACAAAACAAACTTTGATCTTGAATTGGTTTCTTTCTTCTTTTCTTTGTGTCTTTCTGGGCAATGGTAACAGCCCAGAACACCTCACTACAGCTCCCAGAAGCCTGGGCAGTTGTACAGGACTTTTTCCTGGGAAAAATCAGTATGGTCTGCCTGCAGCATCACAGACTGAGATGCCTGTGTGCATCCCTGATAATGCGAAACCTCAGAGCATGGCTTACATTGGCACAGGCAAACAAGTAGAGCTGCTTAAAATATTTTCAGAAAAATGTGCTGTTCTGAAAAAGCCACAGTGTATTACGAAGAGACACAGTTGTTGGAAGGAGCAGAGTTGTCATGGTTGCTGTGAGGGGCATCTAGCAGAACTGGCTGGGGGTGCAGGGGAGCCAGCCCCCAGGAGCACTGCTCTGCTCTGGGAACAGCGGCGGTGCTCGCTGGGGGCTCACAGCCAGCAGACACGAGGTGGTGGCCAGGCTGGGGGGCAGAGGCCAGCCCCTTGAGGGAGCTGGGGGCATTTGGGAATGCATGGTGGGTCTGGAAAGAAGCAATGGCTGGGAAAAAGGGCACAAGAGAGCATGGTGAAATGTGCAAAAATGAGTAACTTGTCATTTCAGAAGTGAATGATTCAACTTCTATTCTCAGAAGACCAACAGTTCAAAACTGGTCTAACTAAGAAAAAACAGAACAAAGAGGGGTGTAACAAATTGTTATTAATTTTGTTGTCATTTGAAGTGAAACATTGCTGTCATTTCAGGTCAGACAAAATGAGATTTGTAGTTTCACATAAAAAAGGGAAAAAAAAAATAATACATTTTGTTTATTCCAAATTGTCTGAAAAAAAAAAAAAGTAAAAAAAAAAAAAAGTTCTGCAAAGTCAAAGTCCATTAGTCACAAAGATCTCATCCATACCATACACTGGTGCAGCATTTCCACAGACACTTGGAGCCCAGCTGTTTGCTGTTCCTGGTTGCTGTTACCAGCTCTGAACACTTGCAATAATTTGGATATGTATCAGTAGGACAAAAAAGCCTACCTGGAAAAGTAACCTGTGCCGTTTCTAATAAAAATCTGGTGATAGCAGCATCTCCTCTTCTGATTTCTCCGAAGACCAGCGCACTGCTGAGCGAGCCATGATCGCAGCCACCCCAGGCTGGCCCAGCAGCTCCCCACTGCCGCCCTTCTCCCTGTCCCCTCAGCTCCAGGCCTGGGGTCGCCGATCCAGATGTGAGCTCATCCCACCAGAAGGCTCCGTCCTCTGCCGTCCTGCCCAGCTCGCTGTCCCCAGCCGTCTGCAGGTGGCTGTGGCTGCTCACACAGGCCTCGCCATCCGAGATGAACTTCCAGAAGGGCTTTGCCTCCCATATGCTTGTGCAGACACTGCAGCACCCGAATCCCTGCTCGGCAAGGCACCAGATGGGACGAGCTCCACAAATCCAGGGTCTGCTCGCCTGCTCCCAGGAAGGGACCGTCAGAAAGGGCTCCACTGGAGATCAGCCAAGTACCAAAGATTAAAAATCATTAAAAAATAATAATAAAAAAAAATCATCCCAGGATATTCAGCCACACAAGTGAGCAATTGCCTGCTTTGCTGGCTCTTCCAGCCCCAGCTTGCCTACAGCTATGCTTCTCTATTTGAGTCATGTTAGCGTGGAGGAGCGATGAGAATGCAGAGACCAGCGGTGCCATGCTGCAACTACCCCCGAGAAGGGTGGAAGGAAACGTGACAGTGAACACAAGTTACACCTCTGTCATTCCGAGAATGTAGAATTGCATTCCTTCCCTTCACGGGGCAGCCTTAAAAGCACAATAAAGTATTTCAAAGTATGCTTGGAAATACTTTGGCAGGTAACCCCTGATGCAACGATGGCTCTTCCAGACGTATTGCTGCTGGTGACAGTACTTTCCAATCACGGCATCAGAAAAGCCCTGTTCAAGGTGGGGAGGAAGAAGGATGCCAGCCTGCAATCACTGAACTGGTGCTTTCAGCCTCTCACAGAAATAAATGAGGAAAATAAAACTCAAAAATTTAATCAGAGAATTATCCCCAATCTGTAAAGAACTGGTTAACAGGAGGCAATGCTAAATTACAGTGGGCAAGAAAGCGTGTATGTATCTATCTATATATCTATGTGTGTATATATATGACAGGTGAAGGATACCAACTTATTTATTCTTGTCTGTGCTCTTGCAGTGTATCCGCACAGATCTGGATGGCAGACACAGATTAGCTGCAGATTTCAGCCACCCAGCACCACAGTGCTGATAGCTGTACGTTTCTGCAGCGTATCGTGTAACACCTGACCCACTTATGAGAGCCATGAATATATAATTCCTCTCTTCATTTACCAGGATCCTAAACAAAAGGTCGGCTCTTCTGCCAGCCATGACGCTGGAGCAGAAGGGCAACAGCAACACGAGGTTTACCACCTCAGAGCCTCTGCACGCAGGCTTTTTTGGCAGCGGGACCAAAGCCACCTGGCAGGAGCCACTGGGCAAGTGACTCTGCCCAGGTCACGGGTGTGACGGCTTCGGTTTTTCCCAACTTGTCTCTTTCTGTCTCGGTGTTCTTTGTACCAGGGAAATACAGCAGGCTAAAAGCTACAGGTTGATTTTTTTTGTTTGTTTTGTTTTTTTACATACCACAGTAGAAACAGTTACTGAGTTATATTTGTCAGAGTCACAGTAGTTTATGCATATTTGCTATTCACAGACTGCAGAATATTGCCAATAACCTCACTGGTGGGGACTGACAACACGGAGATACATGCATTCATGTGAGACCATAATCAATGATGTCTATACTGTATTAAGCACATTCATTTTTTTTTTAACACCTTCCAGTAAAATCAATTCCTTTAAATTTGTAGTTAAAATTTTTGTTTCCACAATTACGCACAAAATAACCTGTAAACAATTTGACATTACACTTATGTACAAGTGAACCACGTCGGAAAGTAGAAGAGGTAATTCAGTGGGTGCCACTTAATCTACATCAATGTGCAACAGACTGACTCAGCCTCGGCAAAGTCATTAAGTGCTTGTATGAGGTCCGAAAATGTAACATGAGCAAGGCCCCGTAGAGATCACAAAGTCACAAGTCACCAAACCCCCCTCTACGTCCTGTGTTGGCTGTGAGAATATTGCACTGGTGGCATTTGCCCCCCCCGAGCGCACGCGTGGCTGCACGACCTGGGCGGGGGGGAGCCCTCGGAGGGCCCCGTGCTCCCGCTGCCTCGCGCCGGGAGGTTTGGCCTCTGCTCAGCTCTGAACTCCGCTTTTTCGTGTTTGCTTTATCATTGCTATAGTTTAAAATCTGTAATAGCATTCTTATAAACTGATTTTTAGCTAAGTGATATCGATGCCAAGAAAAATAAAGAATGTCTTTTTATAATATAAATAATTTAAAAGTGCTTTTTTGTTCTTTTACTATTAATCTACAAAACCCCGCTGGGGCATAAACTATCCATAAGACTGGACAATTATTTTGTACCATGATATACATGGGGCCTTATGCATAAAGTACTCTGAATGTCAAGTCCACGCGCATACTTGCAACGATGGAAAGGGCTTCACGGCAGGGTAGGAAATTGGAAAGGTTTCTTCAGCCTTCCCAGGGCTAGGAGAGCAATGGGAGCTGGCTGAAGGTCTCGCTTACATTGAGGTCTCTGCCAATACAGATCAGCCTAGTTTCCTCCTTCAGCCTACAGCGTTGCAGAGAGAAGGAACAAACTACCTCACAAAACTAGAATTAACCCAAAACATTTCCATCAGAGTACTGTGAAGTGTCTATATGGGGCATGCATGACCTAGGGGAAAGAAATAATTTGGTCCACATGGATCTGTGTAAACTCACATGTTCTGCCTCTGTCTCCCTCTGATGTCCAAGTCCTCGAGGTGGCTGGGTTTGCAGCGACAGCCCTGCAAACACCGCTAATTGCGGCAGAGAGCGGCTGGCGGGGCTGCGTGGGGCTGCACCAGGAGCAGCCCGAGCCGGGGGTGCCACCACGCACCAGTTCCCTGTCCCCCCGGCCACACGCAGCTGCCCCCTGCCAGCATCCTCAGCAGGCCCCCTGGGGCATGCCGAGGCAGCCAAAAATTGGCTCCACAACCCCGCCGCTGAACGGCAAGTCCCGGTTGCTGCACGTAGATGTAGTGAGCGGTGTGAGTGGATGTGAATGTTATTACAGTTTAATGGCCTTCTCTCATCTTCACTGACACAATTGCCCATTTTTTTTTTTTGTGAGAAAAGGCATTTTAGGAGTCTCAGTCCCACTGAAGTCAATGTATGTTTTCAATTTAATTTCAACAGAACTCATATTTGGTCTTAGTTATGCATGGAAAGTAGCTCAAATACCAGTTTGCTCCCCAGATATTTGAGAAAGAATAAAGTCCTCTGTTAACTGTGTCATTTTGGCTTGCTACCAGTAAGTGACCAACAATGTCCTACGGATCGGCAGAGGTTCTTTCACTGAAACAAATTAGAATTGAGCCGAATATTTTTAGAGTCAAAAGCCAGCTACGTTTTAGACAATTTTGTTATTCCTGTCCCATTTCCCCACTGCATCACCTCCACCTCCTGTCTCGCCCTCATCGCCTTGGCTCAGCCACGAGTGGGAGCAGGGCCGCATCCTGCCCGCGGCCACCCACCTGTGCAGACCCCGGGAGGAGCCCAGCGGGAGGATGGTGCCCTGGGGCCGAGCAGTGACCACATCTCACTGCCAAGCTGGCGAGGGGCACAGCAAGCCGCTCGGTACCCCTGCTGCAGGTACCTCCCGCCCCCACGATCGGTGAGCAGTGCCAGCTCCTGCAGGCGCAGAACAAACCTTGCCTCCGAGGCATGAATTCACGCCTCGCCTCCCAAGGTGCATGTACAAATCTCTCTAGCTGTGTATCTATGTATATGTTTGTATCTGTGTGTATATGCATGTGTACGTATGTATGACACTATTTTAGGGAAGAGGTCTTCCCAAGTAATGCTCTGTGCCCCGGGGGACCCTGCGGCTGGTGACGGTACACAGGGACGTGCCCAAAGCCTGGCTCTGGAAGAGCAGCTGAGGCAGGGGACAGGAAGGGGACATCTGGGACAAAGGCGGGCAGCAGGAGCGGATGCTCTGCAGCATCCCACGTGTCGCCCAACTCCCATCCAGGGCGGGCAGACAGCTCCTGCCATCTGCACAAGGGCTCGCGTGAGCTTGCCAGTCAGCCTGAAACAAAAAGCCATGAAGCACAACCCCCAGTGCTAAATTACCCTGTGCAATACCACAGTGTAAGTTACAGCGGGCTCAGAGCCCTGCAGAAACACAGACATGTGTAGGGACACACACAGCACACCCACACGTGTGCACCCGCGTGTGCCTGGGCACACCCGCTCCTTGCACACCCATCCAACCGGTGACACAGCTCTGTGCTTCCTTGCGGGCTGGGCTGCCCATGGTTACTGAGGTTTAAGACCTTTATTTCTGTAGCGCTGGAGAGTAATAACCATTTCATCTAAAACTGAAGACATGAAGGTCACATAAATCAAGCCCATTTGGGTGTATTTCATTGGGTCTAATTTTTCCACAGTTATTAATCATCCTGCAGCCCTGTACACCCCCAGCATCACTCTGGGAAGGCGCACACACGCACACCCAGCACCATTCTTTCACCCTGTCACTTGTATTTTATAGCCCAAACACTTATGATGTGAAAAGGAGCCAGGGAATGCCCTGGAGTGAGGGAAGCTGCAAGGTTTCAGCTGCACGATCCACCCTGAACTGCGCACATGGCTGCAAATCCTGTGGGAGAGCCCCATTTGCTCCCCAGTTCTGTCAAAACTGCGCCTTGGTGCCAGGGCAAGGGGGGAAATGTCATAAACCAACACACTGCTAAGAGGAGGCAGATACGAGCATCTCACATGTAAAATCCTGGTAAAAAACACAGCAGAGATGATGCCAAGCTGCCACCTCCAAACTGTGCTCTCCAATGACTTGGAGATGTATTGCTGGGAAGTTTTGTTCCCCTCCTTGCAGACAGCTTGTGCTTAAGGATCACTCTGGACACGTATTGCTTCCTTGTTTGCTGGTAAAATTTGCATCCTCACCAATAAACTCCTGCTTGACATCTACAGCCAAGCGATGGCTATGAAGCTGTGCTCATGCGGACCTTAGGACTCATCTGGCAAAACAAAGACTTCCTCGCCCGTTGTGTGGGAACAACAGAGCCTTATGAGCACAAAAGAACCACCTTCCTGAAACTGCATTAAGATCAGCAAGAAATAATTTGTGCACACTTGACATCATCTCCCACAGCAGTGTGAAATTCAAGAGCTCTGGAACCTGGAGGATGCTAAATAAGTCAGAACCAAAGTGGTTTGTTACCAGCACTATCCGTTCCCATATATATGTATCCTTCCTTTCCTGCCTTTAGAAAATAAATAATTTCTCTCAAGTACTCTAGCAGCTCGTTCCCAGCCAACACCAGTTATCCGGAGCAGTTCGCTCTTCCGCAGCCCCCCGGCCAGCCCCAGCACCCTGGGCTCCCCACGGAGCTCAGACCCCGGTCTCAGGGCTCTCTGCTCCCCAGCCCCTGCTGCTGGCTACCAATGTGCACCCACAGCCCTTCCCTGGGTCCCACCTCCCTGTGGGCCCCAGGGCATGCTCAGCGTGGTTGCTGGCTCATGCCACGGGCCGTGAACAGGACCTGCATGCAGACAGCACCTCTGTCACGGAATATGGCTACGTCCTTCTTGGTTTTCAATTTTCTCTTGAAATGCACGTAGCTGCAACAGCGCTGCTCCTGTCCTCTAGCAATTGATTCCCTGCCAGTCAAAGCATTAAACGTATCTTGTTAGGCTGATAATTTCTTGTATTTGCTTCTGTGCTGGATGGGACCGAGCGTCTGCTCGTCCTGCCGGCTCGAGCCAGGCACTGCTGGCAAACGTGCCTGGCAGGCAGGCAGAGACCCGCCATCCTCACCGCGCTGCTGCTCCACCTGCCCTCGCTCCGCCTGGAAATGTTCCTCTGTCTTTCCGCTGGAAGCATTACAGGTTCAGCCCGCTGTCACCAGAAAGCCTGGAGGAGCACAACAAGAGGCGTGGGGAGGACGCAGATGGAATGAGCTCACCAGAAACAAATGGAATATTTTGCTGATGGCAACAAAGACCCACACACTTGTCCCTGGTCTCCACTGAAATGCATTTACAGTGTCTCAGAGAAGGGGAAAAAAAAGAGTGAGAGGCAGTGTGATGGGGTTTCTCCTGGGGTTTCTTTACTATTCAACCCTCAAAGACCTGAAGAAGAACTGGAACATCTACAGCTGCTAAAAAAATGCTCTTTTCTGAGAAAGTGCAGTTACAAGGAGAGAGCCAGAAAATCTTTAAGCAATATATATTGATATATATATATACATATATATATACACAGAGATATATATACACACATATATATATATGCACATATATATATACACACGTGCTTAAGGTAAACTGCCACGGCATAGCTTGCTCCTGTGAGCAGTGCACACCCCTCTAAACCACCGAGCTGGCAGGGGGGTGCAGAAGGCATGCAGCCACGCGCCGCCCCGCCGCTGCCTGCGTGTTCCCACTGGCACCAGCAGCATCTGCACGCGAGCATCTTGTGTTGTCGGTATTGTTGTGCCCTTAAGGTATTCAGCTTGTGTAAGACTCAGAGTTTACAAATAAAAGCATTTGTCATTGTGCTTCCACGACTGGAAAAATATCGTAACCCTATGACTATAAATGTTAAGGTGAAATAGGCAAATTAGGCAGTACTATAGAGATGGATTTCTTTTTTTTTTGTGACCTAACAAATAATTATTGTTGGGAATTATTTTTGTATCACTTAGTATCTCGCAGTAATGGCAATCAGGCTCCACGCCTTCCTGCCCAGAGCCTATAGGTGGTACTTCCGCAGCAGTTCTGATTGCCAGGGATGCTTTCTTTCCGGAAACCTGTCTGGGATTTTGATTTTGAGGAAATCCTGGATGCATTTCTCTAGCTCCTCCTCGATGGAGAGCTTCTCCTTCACCGCCTTCTTCTTGCTGGAGTTGGACTCCCTGGAGCCCGAGGTGAGAGTCCGCAGCAGGTCGCTCTTCCGCCGGCTCTCGGACTGCTGCAGCAGCTGCACGGGGCCCTTCTTGGCCGGCCGGTCCAGAGTCTGTATGTTGGGCTGGCGCGTGACGGGGCCGCAGATGACGGTCTCCTGCGGGGAGCTGGCCTCCGACTGGCTGTCACAGCTGGATGTCGACAGCTCGTTGCAGGACGTGCCGCTCTCGCCCTCCTTGTCGCCTTTGCCGTTCTTGCAGCAGCAGTCGCAGTGGGACGAGGACCAGCGGGATGGCTCACCTGGGAGACGGAGAGAGAGCGGGGTTAGACTGCTGCGAGCTGCCAGCCTCCTCCCCCCCCTCCCCACAGCCACGTTCACCCACGGGGAGCTGCTCGGCTGGACCACAGCAAAGCCCTCGGGACCCCACCGTCACCGGGCCTGGAGCCCCTGCATCCGCCCCAGCCTCCTGGCAGTAGCGTGCAGGAAATTTACTTTTCAGTTACTGACAATAACAAAAAATTAGCAGCACTGACTTCTCCAGACATCTTTTCTTCACTGGGGCTCAATAATACCTTTGCCTGCAGGACTGTGCAACCGGAGCAGCCCCTGTCCTGTGGGCACCGGGCCAGCGGAGCCCCCCCAGCCCCTGCCCTCGCTGCTGCTGCTGGCGCCCGTGCAGGAGGGCTCGTCCCACTGAGATGGGAGGCTTCTGGGAAAAGCACTCCTTCGTTTGCATAATCCATCGGTGATGGGAACCCCTGAACAGAATTTAATTTATTTCCCGATTCATATAGCACATGGCTTGATTTTTTTTTTCAGCTGGAGACTTGCCGGAATGCAATAATCCACGACAAAGGGGAAGAGCTGGCATTGATAAAAACTGTTCCCTGACCAAACCGCTGTGATAATGATGGATTTAAATGTCATTTGGAAGCATCCGTCTTTCCACTAAAATGTAATTATCATTTCCAGCTCGTGCAGATTGGTAATATTATCCAGATCAAGGAAAGCATAATGTAGCCGAGCAACTTCCCACGAGCCACACGGGCCCTGCTCTCTCCCATAAGGTGGAAATGTGGGTGCTGCGGCCGGTCCTGCACACCTGGCACTCCACTGCTTTCATGAGCGCCGGCAGCTCTCTGGCAGCCACAGCACTGTGACCAGGCCAGGGGGATGCACAGCACCGGGACCACGAGGCGGCTCTGTCCTCGCCCCCCTGAGACCCCAGGAATAGGGGCAAGTGTTGCTGCCACCCCCCAAAACCCCGCACAGACCCTGGGGAGAGGGGTTCTGCAGGCCCACGGAGGCACATTGTTACAGAGCTGCCCTGCTCTCCCACTTCTCCAACTTTTTTGTAGCCGTGAATACAATGCACGTAATTTACAGGGGGGAAAGCCCCTCCCCAGCTGTTCCTTGCTCTTCTTCCACAACAATGAAGGAGTCTTTCAGTCTGCTGAGCTGTGTGGCTAAATTAAATTTAAGACCTGTTCTGTATGTTGTCTGAAAAAAAAGTCAATAGTGGCTAAATTGAAATTACTTCTAATTTGCTTTGCCTTGACAAAGGCATTATGCACCGAGCCTTCGTAAAAACCTGAGGCGTGTGTTTCGGACACGTGCCTGCCAGCTGTGCTACGTGGCAGCTTGGCCAAGGTTCCCTGCACAACCCTCCCAAGGGCCTGGCCCCACTGAGCACTGCTGCTCCTGCTCCTGCACAGAGCTGGCTCCCTCCGGCCAGGCTCTGCACAGCATCCCCGCTGCTGTCTCCTCTCCTGCTCTCCCACAAAGCCAGACATTTTCCCCTGATGCTTGCATGTGCTTAAGGACAGCAGCGGGTCCTGGAGGAGATGCATCTGGTGAGTGCACCCGCCGCCACCGCCCAGCCGAGGAGCACATCTCCTGCCTGCACCTGGAGCATCAACACTGCCCGGACAGCGAACAGCAGGCACCAAGCACCAGGCTGCTGCCGTGGCACAGGACATCGCTACAGCCACCTAATTACATTGTCTGGTTAATCAGTAGCTATTATACCCAATGCTGAGGCTCAGAAAAGAGGAAACATGGGCAATAGCGAGTGTGAACAAGAGGCAGACCTCACCACAAGCTGGGTTACAACAGCCCAGGCTGCTTCGCCACCACTTCCACTGCGGGCTGGTCCCGAGGATCCCCTGAGGCTGAAGGCACAGGACGGGAACTCGCCCACGCCGGGTGCCCGGGCAGCCAAGCAGAAGCGGCTGGGCTGGCCCTGCGTGGGCCCAAGGCACGCTCCTTGCAGCTCTTCCACATGAGATCTGACGAGGTCTCACTGCCCACATCTCCCCAGGAAGCTCTTTTCACACCCATGAGTCGTGGGCATTTCTGCACGGGGTGCCTCACTCTCCTGGTCGCGGTCCCACGGGGACCCTCAGGGCCCGCAGCGCGCCCAGCAGCCCCGCCAGGCTCGGCCCCGCCGCCTCCCCCCGCGGCACTGGGGAGGAGATGGGGCACGGGCAGGGACCCACCTGCTGCCATTCGGCACCTCTGGAGTGCACGCTTCATTACCGCAGAATAAACCTTTTATAACTTAATTAAGGCCTAATAAATGCTAATTTCACTTAATGAATATTCAGCAACTGTGGGCATGCTGCATGTGAGCTGGGAGGCAGAAAAGCATCTCTTCGTGAGGCAAACCAGCAAAAACTAGGCCAGGCCCAGGTGCTAGAAACAGATTTCGTCTTCATATATACATTTTGACACCTTTTTAAGGGTGGGGAAGTCTGCAGATGCAGATAAAGGCCCTCCAAAACAGCCACACCGGCAGCCTTCACGCCAGCACCACCGCAGCCAGCCCCGCTGCCCGGCCCATGCTGCTCCTGGCCTTTAGTTACCAAAGTGGCAAAGCTTACATTCTGTGCAGAAAAGACCTTCATATTTTCATCACCAGCACAACATAGCAGGCTAGCTAGAGCAGTCCATCAGGAAATCCGAAAGAGAGCAAGAATGCTATGGAGAAAATTGAATTGCCCTTTAGCTCTTACAAAGTAGGGAGGAAAAAAAAAATAAATCATTAGGCTATCCTCAGATTGTAGGGGAAGAAAAAAAGAAATGTTCCAGTATTAAGCAATAACACATGAAAAATGCATCTGTGCCAACCTGGATCAAAGTAATTGCTATGCCGGTAAGTTGCCTCTGTTAGTTAAAACTAAAAGGATCTGATCACAAGTCAAGCAAGCTGGGCTGCACTGTGTTGCAGGTGTGCAGCGCAAACCACAGGCATAGCTGTTGAGTTTCCTGCTTCGCCAACTCCCTTTGCCTAATTTTGCCTTAGCCAGATGAGGCTGTGAAAGCCTTTGCTCCCGCCACGCTCTGACAAAGCAGGGGCAGGCGCAGGGCTCAGCGAAGCAGTGATTTCCCCTCCTCAGGAGCCAGGGGACGCGGGGCATTTCAGAGGCAGTCTTGCCAAAACAAATTTGAGAGCCTAAATCCAAAGCCAGCTATCAGTCAAACGAATTCACCAGCTAAATGAACTCACTGAAGGGTGCATTTGTTCTGCCAAAAGAGTTTCAGAGACTATGAAGCGAGGAAATAACACAGAGAAATTCTGACAAGCAAGGGAAGTTTGAGATTTTAGACATAGCACACAAGACACGATTTTATAATTTTAAGTAACTAAATTACCCTCGGTGTTACATCAAGTAGCTGACATCAAAGGTAGGGAGAAGGATCGGTCAGCCTGACAGAGATGCGGAGCAGAGCTGTGGATAACCGTGCGCATGGTCATAACGCAGTCTGCTAGGATCAGCCCCTCAGCATGGCCATTAGCAAGGGCCCGGGGACTTGGGGTGGCGAGCAGGCTCCAGACCTGTCACCAGCAGCACAGCACACTCAGTCCTGCTCACTGGCTTCTGCCAAGGGACTTGGTGCTCCCCGAGAATTAGCACAAAATGAAACAGAAGACATCTCTGCTGAACCCAAATGGAGAGGAAAAAAGGGGGAAGAGACAGAGAAGAGAGAGATTTCAGCAGGGAACAAGAGACAAATTATAAGGATTTTGTATAGAGGACATCAGTCAAGAAAATAATCTTGTTCCAGGTATCTCCTCTTAGAAATGAATCAAAGCAACAAATAGCTGCACTATCTGTATGCTCGAAGGTAAGAAGAAGCTGATGTGCATCAGTGAGTAAGCCAGGTCAGCCACTGCACGGGCAGGTCACATGGCAAAAGGGAAACACAAAAGATCTCAGGATTTAGGAAAAAAAAGTCAGTGCTGTTGGCCTTCCCCTGGAAATCTTCTATCAAAAGAGCTCAGCCATTCCCCTACAAAAGGAAAAAAAAAAAAAAAAAAATGTTGTTTGCCATTAAAAAAAAAAAAAAAAAAGTCACTTTTTAGGACATCTTGGAGCATGGCCAGGGCAATGGCCAGGGCAATGGGAGGGCAGAGGGCTCCTGACTCTAGGCTCTACCCTGTGTCACCACCAGGTAGCCCCCAACACCTGGGCACACCCAAAGCTGGACAAACTTCATCTGTCTTGTTGCACCACAGTGTGCTGAGTGGAGCAGTGCACTGCCTTCCACCTGCCTCCACGTGTGCTGGAGCAGCCAGGAGAAAGCAAATGTGTACAGACTGATGCTAGAGCACCGGCCTGAAATCAGCTAAAAAGTGAGAGGCACCACAGGACAAGAACCAAGACAAGTGATTGTCCCCTGTGCCAGGACAGCACGGGTGGTTTTCAGGTGCATTGCCAAACATTTTCCAGATTACTCTTAGGGGATGCGGCACCTGCCTATTTGCTTCTTGGAGTGGGATTTTGGGTCCCAGCGGTGTGAACCTGCCCAGCCATAATGCTGTGGGGGGACAGGTCTCCTCATCCTGGCTTTGGGTGGTGTCAGGATGACAGGGATAGAAGAGAGGAAAAAAAATAATATTTCTCTGCATTTTGCAGCAGCACCATTCTGCACAGGACTCACGGCCAAGCAGGGCAGTCACTGAGCCCCCAGACCGTGCACTGCACTGATGTAACCACAGGCTTCATTAATTAATGTCTAAATGCTTTGAGATTCTCAGATAAAAGGGGCTAATTAATTCTGGCCCAGCTCTCCTGCCTTTCTCCCTGATCTCAGCACATTCCTCTTCCACTACCCTAGTTGTAATTATTATTATTAGAAGCTTCTGAAGAAGCAGTAAAGCCTCTGATGTATAATTGACACACACACCATCAGCCAGTGGCTTTCTCTTCTCCACTCCAGCTTTTACGACAAATACACTGCAAGCAGGAATGGGAAATCCTGTGAAGGGGGACAGCGGGTGTGCAAAGACCCCTTT